TTGAATTTTCTGTAAACCAGGTAAGAATTCAACCTTTTCAAATCGAGAATGGCCCTCCATCCTCCCGAGGCCTTCGGTACTACAAAGAGTATCGAATAAAAACCTTGTCCCCTCTGATCGGATGGGACTGGTTCCATGGCTTTTAAGTCTATAAGATGAGAAATGGCCTCCTTTATGAGGATTCTTTTGGATGGGTTTGAGGGAGACGGACACTGAATGAACCGATCTGCCGGTCTGGAGAAATTCCAGAGCCAGGCTGTTTGTTACGGTGGATAGAACCCAAGCGTCGGTGGTAATGCTTTCCCAACTGTGGGAAAACAGGGAAAGCCTGCCATCTATGGGGGTCCTTCCCTGGAGTCACTTGTTTCTCCTGAAGGGACGGCCCCCTGTGCCTCGAAGGGGCCGTTTAGACTGAGGTTGTTGCCTGGGTTTGGGACCAAAGCAGTCCGATTGACGGTCTGACTTGAGAGGGAAGAAACGTTGTGGCTGGGACCATTCAGAGCTGGGAGTGTTGCGATAAGTCTGTTTGCGATAAAATGAGGTAGATTTGCGATCCGCCCGCTTGGCTTGGTGGGCTAACACTTTCTTCTTATCCTTGTTTTCCACCAAATAAGGATCAAGAGCTTCTCCAAACAATTGACCACCGAAATAAGGAGCGGTGGCCAAGCGCCATTTGGATTTTAAATCCGCCCGCCATTGTTTCAGCCACAGCAATCGTCGAGTAGAAACATTAGCGGCGATTGCCCTGGCCGAAAATCTGGCAACATGTAGTGTGACATCGGCCGTGTATTCAGCCGTCGCCAACAACTTACCCAATGTCTGATGGGCGTGCACCTGATCTTGCGGAATCATGGCTTGAAGCTCTCAAAGCCAAATGATGGAAGACCCCGAAAAGAAGGAAGCTGAGGTGGAGGCCTTCACTGCCCAGCCGGATGCCTGGTGTGCTCTGCGTAAAGAAAGATTTTCTGTCATCTGCTTTTAATGCTTCCGCCATATCCCCAGGAATGGTGGAAGGAGAAAAAATGGGAGTCAGAGACGTGTCCATAGTCGGCACCTCCAGGAGGTTGGTTAAGGATGGGGCAACACTGAAGAGCTTTTTATCAGAGGTGCCTGGAGCAGGAGAAGCGCCAAGGTTCACCCATTTTCTTTACTGTATTAACAAAGAAGGGAGGGCACAGTATGTGCTGTTGGGTCACCGTGGGTTCAGAAAACAATGGATTCGGTGACTGACTGGTGGAAGGGGTAGGTTGTGGTTCCTGCTCAGGCGCAATCTGGGACACAGTTGTGGCCTTGGACAGAATAGATTTGAACAGGGTGGGATCAAATAGACCTACGAAGGGAGAGGACTCCTGATGTGGGTCCTCATCTTCTGACAAGGGAGGCTCCCCTGATTCCTCCACATCAGAATATGAGTCTCCATCATGAGAAGATTGATCAGAGGGAATGGAATAGGCGTAATCTGGGGGTTCAGAATGGTGCTGAGAAGAGGTCGAAGGTTGGGGCCTCTGAAGTGAGGCAATACTTTCCAGAACCTGAGTAAGCATAGATTGCAGCTGTTTCGGTCCAAGAGCTTGAGAAGCCTCAGGACGGAGACCAGCAGCAATGGGAGTGAATGTGGCTGAGGGTCCTGGTTGAGGATCAGGAGGGGGACCCACCCAGTTGGAACTTGGATTTGGGACCATGGGTCTGATGGACCTCTGTTGGGACAACGCGTCTGGGGACAAAGGCCTGTGGACCTGAGCCGTAGTTATTATTTGAGGCCTGAATAGAGAGCTCTCGGAGGTAGCAGTAGGATTAATCTCTTTTGGAATCATTTTTTGAGCTTTTGAAATTTGCCTCTCTAAGGTTTGATGTCTCCTGGCAGCCTCTTTTTCTGCCGCCTTGGACAGAGCCTTGCCAGATAGAGCCTTTGCTTTAGCCTTCAGCTTCCCTGCTGCCTCCAATTTTGAAGATTTGCACCTCTTTACTTGAGAGGCTGGTGGGTGCCAAGACAATCTGGGGCTGTTTGTCTTCTGCCATCACGTTGGAGGCCCTTCAGTACAAGTTTGAGAATGGGTCTCAATAAGAATAGGAGCTAAGGCCCAATGTGATGACTGCTGGAACTGGTAAAACCAGTATAGGCTCCTGCCAAGGGAGCTAGGGCATGAAGTAAAGAAATGATACAATACTGGTAAAACCAGTGTAAGCTCCTGAGGGGGTAACTGTGAAACACAGTATAGTGGGAGGCCAGCAATGGGTGAAGCAGCAATTGTAAGATAAGGCTCTCAGGAGAAAAAGTCCAAAGAAAATTCCAGGTGCAACAATGTATTGCCAAAGGCAATATCAAGTGGATTTGCCTGAGGCAAAGACAAGTGGATGTGCCTGGATTCAAACTGCAGAAGTAGCAGGGCACCAATAATCAGGATAGAGACACACAAAATGGCGGCCGACCATGTATGGGGTAGAACACTGATGATGACTGCACCAAATAGCTGCTGTCCACGTGCAAGGAGAGAGTCCAGAGAAACCACGCTAAAGAATAAGACGAGTGAATCTCTTCACTGACATCCCCTGTACTCAGAGAACTCTGGGGAGGAACGCAGACGGCCCTGTAACGAATCCTAGGCAATCCAAAATGGCAGTTCCGAGCAGGCGGAGAGGCCTGGAGGTCAGAGGACTCCTGACTGGGGCAGGCAAATTTGCTGTTTTAAATATGTCTAATCAACTACCTTAAAACTCTCTTAACCCCCTTTTTCTTTCCAAGAATAAAGGAAGGAGAAAAGGCACTTCTCACTGCCTAAGCAGCTCCTTTGAAGCGGACCTCTAAAATGGCGACTGGCAGTAGCGCGGCAATCCGCAGGCTGCAGAGATCGTTGCGCTGAAGCCCAGCCGATCTGCCAGTGTTCGGAGCCTCCGCGGAGCTCCGCCAATAAGCTGGAGTGATCGGCAGCGCCGCAGCTCAGCTAGCTGTTAAAAACAAAGACTCGTGGCTTGAGAAGCCAAAGAGGAAAGGGGGGTGGAGGGAAGGAAAGAGCAAAAGAACGGTTTACACTGAGGCTTGCAAAAGGAAATAAACCAAAAACTTCTACAGAAGAGGAAGGATAATACACAGATGGTAAAACAGGGGAAAATACAGCCTGACTAGCTGAGAGGAACCAACTCGTCTTGCTGGGTGTAACACTAAGTTGGAACTGGGACAGCATGACCTGACAAGAGCCGTGACTAACTCTCAGACTTAGTCTATTGGGTAGAAGGGACTTCAGGAAACCCAATCCGTGGATTATCCATCCTCATGCTGGAGAATTGTGATTACAAGGACAAAAAAAAAAAAAAGAGAGAGAGAGAGCATTTTAAGTCTTCAGGCAACATGCCAGTCACACCTTTATTATACCAGTATTGATAAGTAAAGGTAGTTTGTGCATGGTGAGGGAAGAGGACATTGATGTTTTTTCACACTGTCATAAGAATAGAAGGCAAGATGCTGGATCAGTTCCCTTTTCTGTACACTTGTGACTGGATTTGGATAAAGGCAAATTTAGCAGATTTCTAACTTTTTGAAAACATCCTTTGAGGAGTGCAATAAATACAGAACAAGATTTTCGGATAAATAACTTCATTTCTAGATCATAAAAGGTACTATTTTATATTGTGTAATATTTGGATCCATTAATCTTCAGTTTCTCATTCCATGTAATTTCAACTTTTTTAAAAAAAGTTTCCCATAGAATTGGACTGTTGGTATTACTTAAAAATAATATTGCTTAAACTTTCAAGTATTTTGTGTACTTCTGAAACTGATAAAACATCGCCATATTGTTTTATGTTTTAATTGTATTTACTGCCAAGCAACTGATTTAGTTAAAATATATCCACAGCATGGTCTCTAAAATAGCTTTTAGAGTCTTTAAATAGCATAGTCTTTAAAATAGCTGTTAAGAAGTAGCAGATTCAATATATTAATCTCTTACCTGGCCCAAATTTTCCAGTAATATATTTTGCTCCCATTTTCAAACTGAGGTTATTCTACAAGGTCACTTTCTCATGCAATTCTGGGTCCAAATTTAATCCCTAACCTATTAATGTTTACATATGTCTGTCAGGTTTCAAGATTAGGAAAAACAAATCCTGTTTATTATCCCCATGTTTATGTCTGAGACATTTATTATATCTTAGGTCCTGCCACCACGTTAGACAGGTTTCACACACACTAACTCTCCAAATAAACATGAAAGCTGTTATTCCAAAAGTACAAATGTTAAAATAAAACTCCAGCCATAAAGGTGAAATAGATTTCATTATTGCTACTAATATAAGATAACCACAGTTTGTCTAAAGCAGTGGTTCTCAACCTGTGGGTCGGGACCCCATTTGGGGTCGAACGACCATTTCACGGGGGTCGCCAAACAACGCAGTCCGCCATTTTCCCCCCCTTTTCCTTAGCTGTGCTACTCCCTTTTATTCTATTGGCTTTTGAAAGCCAATAGAATAGACTCTCTTGAATAGAGTCTAATTCTATTGGCTTTCAAAAGCCAATAGGAATTGTCCAGCTGTCTCTGCCCTGCTGAGCCCGCCAAAAGTCCCATTCTGCAAACGGTGCTGCACCAGTTGAGTAGTCCTCGACTTACAATCGGTTGAGTAGTCCTCGACTTACGACCGGTTGGGGGTCGCGGCATTAAAAAGGTTGAGAACCACTGGTCTAAAGAGTTGAGAGTTCTTTCCTTGCCATAAAAATTTTCTTGAACAATTTTTCTATCTATATAAAATATTTAATAAGAATTAATATCAGAATCCCTCTTAAAATATACACTGAACAAGAGGTTACATTCATTTTAATCTCTCTCCCCCCCACTTCCCTCTCCCTCTCTCTCACATACACACACACACAGACTTCCTTTGTAGGTAAGCTATAAGCGAGAAGTTATTTTACTAACTCCAGAAAAAGGCTATTTGGAAACACAGCAAGCAGAACTTTGTTCTTAAGAGTATGTGAAACAATAACTGTTGTTTTGTTTCAATTCCAGGTTGAAAGACTTTCATCTTTTTTAAACAGCAATTTCCCTATTTGCATGCTAAGGAAATCCATCACAAGGAAATACTGTTGCTCCACCCTTCCGTCAAGTAAAAATTAAGAATTCATGGTTGCCTATTATAAAGTTCACTACTGTGTTACGTGCAACCTGTCAGGTTTTTGACTGGAAAAATTGCTACTTATCAAAGTAAGAACCTTTAAATTATTTTTAAGTAAATTATTTTTAATAATTGAAAATGGTAAGAGACTTCCTAACAGAAGCTTAAAAATATTAAATGTGTACTTTTTCTTCATTTTTTTCCTAATATTATTGTAGTAACAAAGATTACTTTGAATTAAATTGAATAGTTACATGCAAACAATTAAAACAAAAAAGAAAATTATGTGATCCAGTGAGAACATTTTTCCTGTTACAGGATTAGCATGCTCAGATTCTGAACATATGACTTAATTTACTTTACCAGTCTTACAACACATGTTTACAAGGAATTTTCTTATTTAATATTCTCATTTTATTTGTAGAAGACAATTGTTCATTTGGTTATATGTTGTTTTACTCTATTTCCATTTTATTGAACAACTATAATACAGAAAAAATAAATCTCTCTGAAATCTAGTTTCAAAATCATATAATGGTTGCAAATCATCTACAAGCATTTGTACATTTTCTCTCCACTTATGCCTTTTTTTTATGTTTGCAAATTTTTATTACTGTAAGGCAGACATGTCAAACTCGCGACGTCACGTGACATATCGGAGCTTTTTCTCCATTGCCAGCAATGGGGTGGGCGCGGTTTCCTGGTAATACATCCGGCCCAGAATCAATAGCATGTTAGGAAAAGTATGGTATCAGGAATTTCTAGGGTTTTTTTAAGATGTTAAACACAACTATAGTATTGCTAAGGTAGAAGTTTATCCATAAACACGGTGTCATAAAATCATACTTTTTTGGCATGCATAGGATTATAACCTGAATCTATTATTCAAAAAACTTCAGACGCACCTATTTCATCATTTATATTTCTAGATGCTATTTCATTATCTGTAATTAGTGAAAAATTATAAAAATATAAAAATAATCAATTTTTCACTATTGCAAATAATCAATTATTTATAGTGCAATTTAGAAAGGTATTATAAAATCAACTTTTTGGTAGGCACAGGATTATAGCCTGAATCTATTATTTAAACAATTTCAGAGACACCTATATAATTTAAATATTTATATGATCTGTCTGGCATTTTATTATCTGTAATTAGTGAAAAATTGTAAAAATAACCAATTATATATGGTTATTTATTTAGAAATGAAATTGAGATTGTATATCTAAATGTATATCTTACATGCATAAAAACTGAAAAGCTTGTTTTTCTTTTATATGATTATTTTGTCTGATAAAATATAATTGTTATCAGTGTTCACATAATCCATATTTTTCATGAAAGTTTTTTAAATCCTGAAACCATAAATGATTATATGCATACAGTCTTATATGGAATATCTCCTCTCCTTGCAGTATTTGTCAATATCTGCCATTAATCAATGGATATGAAGACAGAATATATAATTTAGTTAATATTAATTCTCCAATAAAAATCTAAATATTACATATTTAAGTTTCTAAACCACAACCAAATCTAACCTACTTAAAGGCTATCTTTTTTCATTTTCTTAATAGTATTAATCTACCTTGCAAGTTTTTGAGCTGATGTACCAGCCAAATATGGAAGAGACTGCAGCACAACATCAAATTCTAACCAGAAAATTATCACAATACAAAAATAAAATACAATTTTAATTCATAAATACCTGTTTGTTAATTCAACAAACACTCATTTATCACACCATCTTTTGTGATCATCATCCAAATCATTCTATGATGCTACACAGTTAACACACACCGCACACTTAACGACAGAAAATAGTTATAAACATGGAATGTTGGAACACCATTGTGGGAAGTCAGCCCCCCAGAGAAGGAAATATTAAAAGGGCAGAAAAATATATTTCCTCAAAGGATCTTAAAGAGGCAGAAAAGCATGCCCAGTTTTTCTTAATAGCCCCAAGTCTCCCTCCCCCAAGCAGAAACTAGCTCTGTAGAAATGCAGATGTAAACCATTCAGGAAGGTTGAAGCTAGAAGATTAAGAAGACAAAGACACCTAAAACCTACATACCCCACCCAAACTCTAAGACAGGATATAATAGGATTAACCCACAGATGCCGAAAGGCACACCCAGACTCAGGACAGAATACATGACACAGGAAATACAAAGCCTCAAACAGGAACAGGAAACAACTCCAAACAAAAGCCCCAGAGGGTATAAAAACCCACTCCCTACATGTGCTCTCTCTCTTTTCTTCCAGAGCCATCTTTCTGTCTGGCTCTCCTCTTCAATAAACTGCAATCTTCTTTCTAAAGCAGTCGCCATGTTTTTTATTCCCGGCTTGGACTGAACCATGATGAAGACTTTTCTTTCAACACCATCATTACTGCCTTCTTACACTAAGATAATTTTTTCTATCATATCTGAAAAATGACTAGCAATGTCATGATTTCTTAGTGAATTGCATGTTTCAGCTTTCAAAGCTCTGGATATGCCCGAACAAGTTATATGTTTCAGGGACTTGCAAAACTCACCAAATGTGAAACAGAACCATTTCTGTATCTCCTCTGGGCCATGCTGTTCTGGCCTAGAGGATTTATGTCTGGAAATTGTCAAAGAACACTCCCAACTAGAGGGTCCAGTGGAAGGATGGAATGTTGCTTTTTTCTCTGATGTGTTTTGCATAGCCCTATGAAATAAGCAAAGAAACAATTCCAACTATTTGCAGTGTTATCTCCACACAGTAAGATATACTGGAAAACTTAATCATATTGCTAGCAAGTGATTTACATTTGCTGCTTCCTTTGAAGTCAAGCATTAAAATGCCCCTCTTAAAAAGGAGTATGCAGGCAGACATAATGATTAACATGAATAAAATACACTAGTCCAGGGGTTCCCAATCAGGGAGGCTCGCACCCCCTGGGGGTGTGAGATGATATTCCAGGGGCTGAAAAAAATTGGGTTTTTAAAAGTATAGTGTATATGCATAATTCGTTACCGTTATTTCAAACTTTGTAAGGGGTGCGAGAATATATCAGAAGCATTCTAAGGGTGCAGGGTATAGAAAAGGTTGCGAACCACTGCACTAGTCTATGCAAAACCCTGAGTTTACCAGGTACCTTAAACGCACAGAAATAATTCGCTGTCTCAAACAAAAGACACTAAAACAACAATCCACAAACTGAATCATAATGCTCAATTTGAAAGAAATGTTTAGGCTAGATTGATACAATAGCCATAAATGCAGGCCAGTCGCCGAGTATCCCAAAAGCAGTCATATGACTATGAGGGTGCACGACCATTAGAATTTTAGAACCAGATCGTAAATACCTTTTCAGAGGGTCCACCATAATTTGAATGGTCACTAAGCAGCCTGTCATAAATCAAGGACTATCTGAAGTAATGGAGGAAACAAACAGAATTCATATAAGAAAATAGCTGTTAATCTCTTAACAAAGTATATATTTAAAATAAAGAAAATATTTAATTTATTAGAACAAATTTCAAACTAAAAGTCACAGTTAACCTCTTTCTATGGAACAATGCAACAATCTTTCAGGTTTCTATCCTGAACATTTGTATTAATGCCCAGGATAATATAAGGTTGGTTCTAAATACTTAAACCAACCTGTCTACATATAACACTCTCTACAACATTCAGCACACTTCCAATGGGGTTCTTCATAGCCTTGCTATAAGCCCATTATGGCATATTTATTTATCCAATTCTACACTACCCATCTCATCTAAGTGTCACCGGATGGTTTACAAAAACAGTGAAAAAAATTATTAAAACAGAGTTAAAAAGTTAAAAATTAAGAGTTACAAAGGTTAAAAAGTTTAAAATGTCAATAATATCAATTATTTTATCATACAAGTTCCTATGGCCAATCTCAAATGAGTTTTAATTTTTTTTTAAGGCCAAGTACTTTTAGGTCAGAAAGATTATAACTTGAGGAGCAGAATTCCATTAAAACCTAATTAGAAGATGATTTCAGAAGTTAATTAAAAATGCAAAAAAACTGAACACTTCCACTTTTCAGATATTCACTGACATATCTAAATGTTTTAATTAATATATATATATATTAATTAAACTTAAGACATAATTCTTTTATTCTGAATTTAATGCCCACTCTAAAAGAAAATAAAAGAATTACTTAGCCTTTTATTCTTGAACTAAAAACCAACTACTGTCAAGTTCATCCTGTCTTCTTTTTCATATTACACTAAGAGCTTGAAATAAAAATGTGGCTCAACTATATAATTTTGCCAGAATTCTGTGGTGTTAATAGCAGTTTGCCCTTTCACATCCATAAACTTTTTGTTCTTAAATCCTTTAAGGCTTCAACGTTGATCTTCCTTAATTTCATGTCTTGTGTGTCTTTGATAGATCTCCATGATACATCTCCATATCTGACATCTGCTTTTCTCAAACAACTATTTATGTTCCCCAAAACCCTTGTCTTAACTGACTAGACAGAGAGCAAGTTCATATGTCATTGTAAGCCACAATGTGGCTAATCTGGAAAGAAAGATGTTATACATTTTCAAATCATGCAAGTGCATAATGATTTGCTCCACGTGCAAGGGAGCATTATTCATTCCAGATCAGGCCATTCAGGCCTTAACCCAGGTCCTCCAAATTTCTTGGCTGGTGGACACCTTTGGAATGTTGATATAACAGCTATTACATATACATACAAATTCATGCAGAAGTCATATTTGGGAATAAAACATTACAGAGAACTCAATAATCGTCTGTTTCTTCTTGAACCAAGCTGAACCTGCTACAGATGCTGCTCTTCTGGGTTAGTTCAATGGTTTTCTGGAACTAAACTGGTATCAAAGTAGTTTTAAGTGTTTCGAACATGTACCAAATAAAGCAGGATCATTCTGGGGCCATATTACCTTAGAATATCCATAACTACTGTTTTTCTCCAAAAATAAGACCCAATCAGAAAATAAGCCCTAGCATGACTTTTCTGGATGCTCGTAATATAAGCCCTACCTCAAAAATAAGCTCCTGTTACGATTGTCAGCCAGAGGTCCGTTGCAACACAAAACGGACGAATTGAATTATAAAATAATATTAATATAAAGAAATACATTACTTAAAATAAATGATAGTATAAATTATAAATAAGTATATTTGCATACCCAAGTGGGCGCCTTCGAATGAGGTGAGGCAAGGCAGGGGGTGGGGAGGAGGTGGTGGCAGGTAAGACAGGAGTCACTGCCGTCAATGTCACCAGAGAAAACAGAGAATTGGGAGGGGCGGCGGCTTTTGCTTTGGGGCTGACCAAAGTTTTTACATCAAATGTGGGTCTTCGGGAGTTAGGATAGAGCCCAAAGAGCAACTTAAGGACATCTAAAAGCAGGGGCTTCCCTGAACGCTAAATAATATGGGGGTGGACTAAGCCTCCTGAGAGGCAGAGGCAGAAAACTATACCAGTGGTCACTTCACCCCCCTCACCATCCAGGAACAAAACTTCTCAAGCAGTCCCAAGGCTCACACCTGCTGGCACAAAGCAGCAGCCCATGTGAGCTGCCTCCTTCCCAGCCAGGAAAGGGAGAAAGGCGGCTTAGCGGCAGCCACTGCAACCTCGCGAGGAAAATTCACCTTCTCCCGGCTTCTTTTGCCCCTCCAATGACGGCAACAGCTGGAGCAGCCCCTTGCCAGTCTCACCTGGGGGCGGTAGCCAGTGGAGGGCCTTTTGCCACCGCTCCCATTCCGTCCTGGTTGTTGTTGCTGCCACCAGGGAGGTGAAGGAAACAAGGCGAAGGCGAACTTTCCTCGCAAGGTCACCGATGGCCGCTGCTGCTATGCCTCCTCTGGTTTGCAGAAAAACCTCTCTCCGTGAAACCAGTCCTGGTGCCCAAAAGGTTGGGAGTCGTTGATCTAGAGTGAGTTCAGATGGTCGGCAAGCATGAATTGGGTTAGAGTTCTCCAGAATCTTTAATTCCTATATATGTGTTTTATACAAACCTGCCAGAAAGTAATCAAAGTTCTGGGCTGCCACAACTAATATTTTAAAAATCTAAAATTTATTACATAAATATGTAACTTAACTATTGCCAAAGTAAGGGTGAAGAGATACATTGCTGTCTACAAGCAGCAGGTTGTAAATCCAAGGTTACCCAAACCAGCATACTGTAATAGTATGTGGGAATAACCTTGGGAGACAGAGCAAGACAGTGTTACAGGGGAATGGGAACTTAGTCTTCAGAAAGAATGTGGATCAGGCAAACATCAGAAGGTACCCTCCATAGTTTCTTGGGCTGTAAAGGCAAAAGGAACATATTTACTTGCAGACTTGCAAAATTCTGTTAATGTAGCCTTACAATAAAGTACAACTGATTCATGCAGAGACATTCTTCCTATCTGGGCCACCTCATAAGACTGACAAATACTATACAAATCAAAGCCAAGACATTCAAATCCTGCAGGATTCTCCCTTGCTAACTCAACCTATTTCATGTCTAACACTTTCTTACAGCACATATGAGTTGTTTACTTTTCCTTCTTTTAATTCATAATTAATTCACTTTCCCTCCCTTCCTTCGCTTTTCTTTCTATCACCTTCAAGTAACTCTTCACTTCTGGAGAGTCTCTGAAGTTTTCTTGGAAAGTTTTTGGAAGTAGTTTGCCATTGCCTGCTTCCTAGTGCTAACTTTGTGCTCAAGGATGGATTAGAACTCACAATCTCCCAGTTTCTAACCTGATATCTTAACCATTATACCATACAGGTTTTTTTTTACAACTAATGTAGCTTGATCATTTATTATAGGTTAATTTAACTTTATCTTGATGTTCTTAAAAGATAATTAGGTAAAAACACAAAAACAATGCATAATTTTCTTTAGAAAATAAAAAACCTCTTGAAACAGTCCAAAGTCCATAATTCAATATTCTGATTCTCACAAAATACCTCTAGAGACCACCCACCAAGAAATGACACATCCTTCTTCCCGTAACTGTTGTAAGCTGAGGACTACCTACAATGAATCTTCAAGACTTATTACGGTTGATAGACCTGTTTTTTATTAATGTATCCAATAACCTTTGAAAATCATTCATTAAAATACTCTATAGAGCTTGTACTATATCCAAAAATTAGTTTTTTCTAAACAATGTCTGTACTATATTGACATAAATTACTGCAATCTTAATCTCACACTTTATTATTTATAATATGTTGATTATTGTTGGTATACATATAATATTTGGGTTTTAATATTCATTCATTTTCAACAATTCTTGCCAAGAAAACTGCAGGGACTAGGAGCCAACACTGACTCCAAGGGATGCAAGCACACACAAACACTAATGAAATATTGAAATTTTTAATGAAATATAATACTTGTAAAAACTCTGTATTTTGTCATTATTTTTATTATAACTTTAATAAAAAGAAAGCCACCTATATTATCATGTCTTACGATAATGAATTCTACAGGTTCATTATCCTCTGTACTTTTTGTGTGTTTTAAATCTGCTTCCAATCAGCATCACTGGATAATTTCTGTTTTGAAAGACAGAGGAAAACGTCTCCATGTCCACTTTTTCCATATCATTCATTAGTTTGCACTTCAATGACCCTCCCCCAGGTCTTTTTAAGCCCGAGTCACAAATGTTCTACCTTTTAATTGTAAAACAGATGCTTAAGTCATCTAATAATTTTAGTTGCCCCTTGTGCAACTTTTTTCCTACTCTATGACATCTTTTCCAAATGTGGCAGCCACAATTGTACACAATATTTCATATACTGATATAGGAGATGTTTACATAAACGGAACAACTATGTTTACGTTTTATTTTCAATTCCTTTCTTAAAGAATGACATGGACCTTGCCTTTCTCATATCGAAAGGACATACATGGGCGGACAAGTTAACATACGACAAGTTACTTCTCTTATTATACGTCTTTATAAACTTGTATTTATCATATCTGGTCGGCGTATAGTACACGCTTTAAAAAAAAAAACCGCTGAAACTACTGTACACGAAGGTCATGGCTACACGACCACGCAGTTCCATACCAGAAGCCGAATTCGGAGAACTGCTTTTTGCATCACCGCGGGTAGAATGTTTGTCCGGGGCTCGTTTTGACAAGCCTCACAAGTAAGTGGATCCGCTGAAATCTATTTTCGGCAAGCCTGAAAAGCCAGATCAATCTCGTTTGAACTGTTTCAACGGCTGAGCTACAGAGGGGGCGAGATTGGAACTATCTAGCAATAGCAAAAAAACTCCAGCTATCTCATTTCCTTTTCTGCACTCGGGTCTTCGAGACTCCTGGTTCACATGGATCCTTGGTAGAATTTATATATGGAGGAAGGGAACCGTGGAAGCTCTGGGTGAGATATGTGCTAGCTCCGGAGCTGGAAAGAGCACGTGGGACTGCAGACGAAGGCGCGGCCTGCAACGGGTCAGGCCGGGGTAGAGGGCATGGCGCGGGACTCGGGCCGAAGATTCCCGCCCAGCTGGCACCCCGAGAGCAACCTCGAGGGAGGCCAACAATCGCTTACTTGCAGGCTTGGCTTGGCTTGGCCGAAGGATTTCCTGAAGAAAGAAGTGCGAGCTGTGAAGAAAAACTCCTCGGACTCCGATTCTTCCCAGCTGCTATAGCCACTACTCATGCTGCTAGTCCAAGTCATTGGCGCGCCCCCGTCGCCGTTTCTGCAGGGACCCGGAGGAGTCCCCACCGTCGCATGGGGATCCGCCTGCCCAGGGCTCGGCGGCAGCAGAAGCAGCGGTTCCTCTCGCTGCGCCCTGCGGTCACCTCGCCCTTCAGTCTACATGCGAGCTGGCCCGCCCTGTCGGAGGCGGCACCGTTTACCCCTCCCCAAGTGGCCGAGGGGAGGCGGTCTCGGAGCTGCTGTCAGCCACCTGTGTGCGCTGCTGGCACGGCTCTTGGTCGCTTCCTCTTTCCCTCTTGAGCTGGATCGACGGGCGGTTTTGTCTACCCCAGTAGATGATAACCTAAGCGGGATTTCTTGAAAAGCATTTTAGCTTAAAAATATTTAGCGGCGTTCGTCAGCGACTTAATAGAAGTGAGATGATACATTTGAATGCAGTACAAAAATCCTTCAGGCGAGATGGCAGATATCCGGCATTCTCGAGTTTTATTAATGTCAGACCATCCCAGCTCCTTAGAATACGAAGGATGTTTTTACCTGATACAGCTCAGCTTTTGACGTTTAAGAGAACTCAAAATTTATTTTATAAGAATTTATAAAAAATTCTTGTCTCTGCAAATATTTGCAAAGAGAAATATCACCCAATACTACAAAGTACTTTGAGTTGAATGTACCGAAAAGCAGCCTAATTATCCTTTCAAAATATTTATTCTGAAATAAATCTCAGCTGGTTATTTACTTTATGTTTCTTGCAGCCTTCAGTAAATAGAGTCTAATATATGAAATCCAGAATATTTTTAAAAGCTTACAATATATTTTTTCATAACAAGGAATTTTGTTCCAAATGTTAACACTGATACCATAAATATAGTAGGTTTAAGAGGTTTTAATAGGTTTAGACTTTAATTTCAGATAGAACAAAACCCAAGAAGTATGTTCTCCATAATCAATGTGCAAAAGCTTTGGATATTGCTCTTGGCCAGAGGAATTAAAACCAGTAGTTATGTGAACACTTTGGTATCTGGTTTGTAATAGCTAACAGTATACTGAGATGTCTGGAAATATTTATTTTAGTGCAGAATTTGCACTTGTATACATAGTATTAAAGCTATTGATATAGCATTTGATCAACAGGGGAGGAGAGATCCTATAGAAACAATCTGTTGTGGTATCTGTAGCTTACTGCAAAATATTAAACTAGAGAAGATGTGATCTGTTGTCTTCTCAATAATGCTGAAGTTCATTACACTGAAGTTCAAAATAGTCATGCTGGTTTTACATCTTTTTTTCCTGCCACTACCAAGTTAGCAATGTGTTTTCTATCTATAGACTATCTGTCAGAATCCAGTTATATTTCCTTTCTATCTATCTCCTCTGATCTAAAACCAATTCTCACCCTTCCCTGGATTCTGCCATACTCCCAAGGGGGAGGGGGGATATGCATGTGGGTTTATTACTTTCACTTTCTCTATTCACTACAAAGTAACCTTTTGTTAGTGCCTTCTGTCTGCTAACCATTACAATGTAACAAATTGCCTCCTATACTATGCACCTGAGGGAAGTTAGCCCAGAGAAAGAAATATTTAAAAAGGGCAGAAAAATATATTTTTCCTCAAAAGGACTTTTTAAAACCAAACCTGGCCCCAAATCTATCTCTCTGTCCCAAGCAAGACTTTAGCCCCATACAAATGCAGATGTAAAACCATCAGAAAGTTGGAGCCAGAGCAATCAAGAAGACAAAAGAGAAGATCTGCATACCCCACCCAAACTCTAGGAGTCATTAGCCCCATCACCTGGGAAGCAGGATATGATAATAGGATTAAACCACAGATATCAAGGCCTAGACAAACACTCAGAAACAGCCTCAAGGTTCATGCCACAGGAACAGGAAACTATTCCAAACAAAAGGCTAGAGGGGGTATAAAAACTACTACCCCATGTGCTCAGCCTTTTCCTCTCCTTTGCTCCTTCCTGCAAGGACCATCTTTCTGCTTCTTCAATAAACTGTAACCTTCTTCCCAAAGCAGTCTCCATGTTGCCTATTTATTCCTGGCTTGGATGAACCAGGATGAAGACTTACTTCTCACACACCCCTCTGAATTTCTCCCTACCAGGCAGCTAGGAAAGGGGAGGGGGGAGAGATACAAACCTCCAGAGCTGTGGAATGATCGTGCACAAACAGAACCGGACTGATGTTATCTTTCCTTTCCCATTGATGGATTTAACACCTGGGGATTTGCCGGTCTGAACCACCCGGATGAACTGTGGGGTGGGGTTTGCTTAGAGACGCTTTAAAATATCGATCACTAAGGGAATCCCTCAGATCCTGTCTATTATGCCTGCTATCAACTACTCTTAATAAAAGTTCCCGTTGGAAGAAATCGTTTCCAAGAGTTCTGCTTTCTTAAGATGTGGGTAGAAGTGGGTCCTGACACTATCAACTGAAGAAGTTGGCCTGCAAGATATACATTACAGGTAATCCTCAATTTATGACCTCAATTGAGCCCAAAATTTCCATTGTAAGCAAAACAGTTAAGTGAATTTTGCCCATTTCTTGCCACAGTTAAGTGAATCACTGCAGTTGTTAAATTAGTAACATGGTTATGAGGTAAATCTGCTTCACCATCACTTCGCTTGTTAGAAGCTTGTAAAAGGTGATCACATGACCACGAGACTTTGCAATTATATAAATACATGCCAGTTGCCAAGCATTGAATTTGGTTCACATGACTATGAGGATGCTGCAATGGTTTATGAAAAAAGTCATAAATCACTTTTTAAGCACCATTATAATTTCAAACATCACTAAACAAATGATTGTAATTGAGTACTACCTGTTTATGTTTGTGATGCAGAGATAATATTTTAAGAAATGGTATCTTTTGCATAACATGGCAACCATAACAGAAGGCAATAAAATGTCATTATCAAGCTCAAAGAAGTCTCATGCTATTTCAGCCATTTCTGTTTATTGGCTTGCCTACAGACTGGGGGAAGAGGGAAAGAGTGGAATGTGCCTTGCAGGTAGTGAGCTGCTGAGCCTGAGAACCAATGTCATGCAAGATATTGTTTACTAAGAAGTGAAGGCTTTTTCTCATAATAATTGTCTGACACCTAATTGGGTAATGTGACCTGCACTGTCAGGGGGAAAGGGAGTTTCTATACTTTTAATATACTGCTTTGGTGCCAAATAGCCAGAGCTGATTTTCTTTTCATCTGTGCCAAAATGATTTGCTCAATAAAGTTTTGCATTAGAGATTGGAGCGTCTCCGCTATGCTTACTTTATTGGGTTTGTCAGTCAGAATCTTGACAGTCATTCAATTTGGGCTTTATTCCTGGTGACTTCATAGATACACCTGTGTGGGATTTTTTTTTTAAAACTTATATTTTTTGTCAGCCTTGATTGTCTGTTCAACAGGCAGTAACAATTGGCTGACTTGTCTGCCTTCAAAAATTAAGAAGTGGTTTGCTATTTCTTAATTTCTGAAATCATACAAGTCAGCTAATTGCTACTTCCAAAAAAGTTTATTGCAACTGATGGAAACATGAGGTGGCAATTTATGACTTATGCCATTTTGCAAACAAAAGGAATTGATGGCATAAATCCTCAAGGCAGGGAAATGAACAGCCAAATAGTCACTAGCTCAAAAAAAGGTGGGAAGAAGAGGCTCAGGATTCAAACCTTGAGGGAAAAAAATACATAATGGGCAGGATTTCTGGCTGCTACAAAGCTCTGCTTTATTTCTATGTTCAAATAAATAAAATACTTTATCAAAAGACAATTTGTTGTTCAGTCACTAAGTCATGTCCGACTCTTCTCAACCCTCATGGACCACAGCATGCCAGAACCCACTGTCCTCCATTGTCTCCTGGAGCTTGCCCACACTTGTGTTCTCTGCATCAATGACACTATCTAACCATCTCATCCTCTGCTGTACCCTTTTAGTAAAGGAGACCATTTAAAACATCACCATACTGACTTTAACAAACTGAATTTAGTTCTAGTCAAGTATTCTGAATTGTAAATATTGTAAAAGGTTTTGCTGAATATAATGAACATTGGACGGGAGGAAGCAGGAAGATAATTCTGTCTAGAAAAGATGACTATTCACAACATCTGGTGTTATGAGGTATTAAGAGGCTTGACAAGAATGCAAAATATTGTAGTGCTTTTCAAGGATTCAGAGTAATAGTAAAGTGATGACTTTACAACAGCAATTAATGAGATGAACTTTGAAACTTCTGCCTTCAGTTTAGTCGCTGTTCTCTAATTCAGCCTTTTGTAATCTGCATCCTCAAGATATTTTGGACTTCAGCCTTTATAAGCTTTTTCATTAAGACTATTGGCATTGAACTTAGAGAGACTTTTAAGATCCCTGCTTTATCTCTTTTATGTCTAAAGCTATTTTTTTCCTGTGTTATTGCAATTTGGTATAACGAGAAAATAACCTGCTTATCAGTACTTAATGATTTATACAGTCCTTTTTTTATTATTAAGCACAATTCTCTTAAATCTCTTAATTCCATTATTATGAATCATCCAGGGCATTTTCCTATCATAATTTCTTTTCCAGACTTTTCATTTCCAAGTCTGCTTGGCCATTATCTTCACCACTGGTCACTGTGGAACATAGACAAAAGACAGGAAGCATCATGAGTTCATCAGTGTTTTCTCTAACCCACTAACAGAATAATGTAAAAAATCATTTATGGTCCCCTGCCCTGCAAGCTATAATCATTCCCTATATTTTCAGTATTCCTGCACATTTTGTCCTCCCCAAAAATCAAGCATAATTCTTCCCATGTTTTAAATACCACTGTAAACCATGATTACAACATGACACTGTAGTTATGCAGCCAGACCATGGTTGTAAGTTCCAGCATAGAGTCTCTGATTGAAGAAGAGGCTAGGAAAAAAAATATGCCTGAAGGCTGGAAAATGGAGTAAGATAGGAGTCTATTTCTTCAGAATAAATCAACTTGGACTGTTTGCAAGGATTGTGAAACAGACTAGGATTAAGAGCAAAGGGTTGGCCAACAGTTAACAGGTTTAATGTGATGGCCAAATGGCCTTTTCCAACTGTAATATAGCGATCATAGATATACTGCCTTGGGGAAAGCTCCAAGGTCAGATAGCAAAGGGCAGAACAAGGCAAAGGTTCGAAAGAATAAATGGGAAAATGGATTATCCACAAGCCTCATGGAGCTCCACTACTGTATCAGAAACTATGTGCTTTCAGTTGTGCCATAGCAGACTTCTCCTTGCCTCCCTGAAATAAACTAGTTCTACTGTCCAGGAAGAATGATGGCTGGTGACCACAAGGGATGGATGTGATGCCCATGCAGTAGCAGCACCAAAGTTTCATGCCCTAATTTTTGTATAATATGTGCAATGGGATTCTAACAATAGGAGTTGAATTATAATGGATTTTTTTCCAATCAGATAATAAGAGGTCTCAGCTTCCAAGAACATATGATATACTTTTTTTCTCCTAGTGTCTGAAAAAACACCCATTTTCCTCTTTCCTATGCACAAAGACTTTCTCTTGGTACCAGTTTATCCAAAGGTGCTGAGCCCTTCAGAGGAATTGTATCTTATCTCAGAATGGATAGAGCCACTTCAGGGGTCCCATTTCCCTGTTGACTTTATTTGCCATTTTCCTACATATTGTCTGGTAGTTTATAGATTCTGGCAGTCTATAATTCTGCAGTTATTACCAAGGTAGATAATATTACCTTAATTAACTATTCCCTTCCTTATGCTTTGTGCTAGTGCAGGGGTGTCAAACTGCCGGCCCACAGGCCGGATGCGTCATGGTGAAACTGCACCCACCCCATTGCCAGCAATGGAAAAAAAGTCACCATACATCGCAACACATCACGTGACATTGCAAGTTTGACATCCCTGTGCTGGTGCTTTATTGTTCCTGTGCTTATGGTAACAGTTTGCAGAATTAATTGCTTAAATTCAGTGGCTCTTTTTGATAGCAATCTGTTTCTCTCATCAAATTTAGCAGATGTTCTTGGTTCCAATTATTGTGTGATTATAGCTCTCAGCCAACACCCAAACACAAGGCATTTTTGCTATAGTATGAAGAAATCTTCAGCCAAAGATAACACAACTGATAGCTAACCAGAACATGGAAAGACACAGAAATTCTAAATTAGAATTTAGAAGCACAGGTCCGTAAAAGATCAAGCAGAAGCAAAATAGTAAATAATCCAAATGTTAAATTAAGTCCATGGATCAATACAACAGAAACCTAGTGATGATTTCACAACACAGAATGTCTACATGAAGAAAATGGATTAGACTCTGGATTAGCCCATGCAGATTACTATTTCATTGTTTAATCTACTTAATTAAAATTATTACAAGAAATGCTAATATTTCTATGGAGAAATTGACCAAATAATATATGTAATTATAGAGTCATTTTTAATTGAATAGCCCAAAGCACATATTCCAGTAGAAGAAATTCCCTGAAAATGGGCTCCAGCATGAGTCTGAAAGCTCAGAAGAGTAAATTTCTGGTCCCGGTGACCAATCCAAATTCGATCTCGCATCATTTTTAATTGCTTATAAGACCCAAATGCCTAATATCTGAAAATTAAACATATGAGGAACCGTCATCAACCTGTCCCATCTAATCAACCAGGGAGTTGGTGCGAACCCCATTGGTTAAATAATTTCCACTGGTAGCGTCTAGGAAGAGAGCCTTCTCTGCTGTTACTCCTGCCCTATGGAACATCTTGTTTCCAGTGGTGAGGTGAACCCCTCCTCTTTTGGGAAGAATGTTAGTTGGCTTTGCCAACTAACATGGGGCTGTAAGAGTGGTATACAACCCTAGGAGTAACTTTTGTAATGTTTAACTTTAAAAATTCTGTTTTAATATTACTTTTAATTATGTTTTTATGGTTTTATTATAAACCAGCTGGTGAGGGGCAGTATAGAAATTGGATAATTAAATAAAATAAATATGGGACATGAAAGGAGATGCATTCTTAAATCAAGGTATGCTTGATTTAACTCTTTGTTAGAGCAGCTGGCTGTCTCAGATAAGCATCATCTTCCTTTAGATCATGTGACTATATTACAGGACCTGCTGATTCTGTTCCATCTGTCCCTTATTCTTGCTATAAGGCAATCCCTTCATTCAGACTCCCCCATAACGACTATTTTTGTTTGATGAAAAGAATTGCTTCCAGCGGGGTACTAGACTTAGTCTGCTACCAGCAAAAATAGTAAATAATCCAACAGCATTTTAGAAAAGCAAATATACTACAGTAATCTGCAAGTTCTACCAAGCATAGTCTAGTTCCTAAAATACACTCTTACCTTGGAAGAGAAGATGCACATACATGCATATGTACCATCTAGGCTAGGAATTAACAAGGGGAAAATAGAAGAGAGAAAATAGAGATAAATGAAATAGAAGAAGTGAAGAGGTAAACATGAAGCTTGTGCAGCACTTTGGATTCAGTTTCAGAAAATATGTTTTGATGCGCACAGAGATGCAAACATAGCATTGAGAAGGCCTATTTGCTATCTGTAGAAGATAGCAACTCCTCCATTTGTTTATCTCTGAGCCTTCTATTTCTTTTCCTTTCTATAATGTCCTTATTCACTCATGTATCCCAATTAAAGTTAATAAAATATGAAAATACTAGAATTATATTGATAGTATTTTGAAGAAAATATTCATATTCCCAACCTCCCTGATATATATTAAAATAATTAACTTGCAAATTAATGTCAGTACTAGCCACTTCAAGGACAATAATTTTGAGCTGAAAATTGCTTCCATATTTTTTATTTCACATAATGCGTTTGACTAAACAAATGGTGTTTTATTATAGAACTTTGAATATCACTTTTTCTTCTTTCCACTAATTGCTAATAGTACAGAGGAAGATTTGCAATAATGAAACAGAGAGCTTTGGGGTTTAAATATAGCTTCCAACTGTGGAAGCTTAGCCTGTTTGTAAGTACTAGGAGAATTCCAAGCTTTCAATGTGTTGCAAGTGCAATTTGATTCTCAACATCTGTCACAAAAACTGCAACTTGAAGAGGGTGCCTTATCATAAAAACAGACTGGCAACTTTTATATGATGTAGAAAATTCAGTCTCCAGTTATTTTTCCATACCCACTGCCCTTCCTCACATCTGCTTTCAAGTATTTGCACTTAATCCTCATTAAGATCTTAATATTAATGAACAGGCACATGTTCATTAATTGCCTGAAATTTGAATCTCAATTCAAATTTGAATTACAGAAATTTGAATCTCAGTCCTACCTACATTCCTACTCTCAGGATTTTGTATTACAGTAAAAGTACCAAAGCAATTCTAAAACAGCTATGCCTTGTCAATTTGGAAAACGGTCTTCCCAGCATGTTTATTAATTCCCTGATCAAAATATCTTTCTATCCTGTGCTGGACCAGCCAGTTAGCTTAAGAACTGTATGTTAGAACATTTAGCATTTAAAGGTTAAATTCTGTTTCCTTAAGAGATGGCTTATGGGTAATGTAGTTTTAGTTGTTAGTTAATGTTATAGCTTATCTAGTTAAGTGGGAGGAGTTTCAAAGTTTATGACTGTACTTCCTGGCTTTGTGCCATTGTATCATCTCTCCACATGGATTTATACGCAGGATGGAGAAAGCCATTAACTTTTTACCTTTGAAATGGATCCAGATTACCATTGCATTCCGGATGAACCTCAGCTGTAACCGTGAGTCATTGACTGAGGATATCTGTGAAATAAAGAAATCTTTCTTTTTTTTTTATTGAAAATTTTTTAAAAACTTTTACAGAGACAGAAAAAAAACAATAACAAAAAAAAACAATACAACCCTCCCCCAACCCCTCCCAAACCACCCCCTCCCTCCCCCCCCGGAGCTTCCCAGAGCAGAATATAGGCTTAATTAAAAAAAATTAACAAAATTATAAGATAATTAAAAATAAAATATATATGAAAAAAGAGTTATAATCCTTAAAAAGAGAAAGTATTTAAAAAAGAAAAACAAAGAAAAAAAAAGAAAAAGTAGAGTTTTTATACAAGTTATAAAAAAGCTAAATGATATTTTTTCAAATCCAGTTTAAATTGTATGAAATTTATCCATTTTTCCCATACAGCAAAAAATTTCTCTTGCGTTTGCTGTTTTAAGAAAGCCGAAATCTTTGCCATTTCTGCCAAGTAAGATACTTTAAAAAACCACTCTTGCAAAGTAGGCAAAGATTCCTTCTTCCAGTATTGACCTACTAACAGCCTTGCGGCTGTAATCAGATTCAGCATCAATATAACCTCCTTAGCATGACAATCAATAACAATACCAAGCAAAAACAATTGTGGAGTAAATTTTACCCTCTTTCTAAAAATTCTCTGAATGTTCCACCATATCTTAATCCAAAAAGCTTTTATATTTTTACACGACCACCAAATATGATAATAAGTGGCGTCCAGGCAGCCACATCTCCAACATTTAGGCTGTAAGTCAGGATACATAAAAGACATCTTTTGTGGATCAAGGTGCCATCTGTAAAACATTTTATAAAAATTCTCCCTTAAGTTCTGGGCTTGTGTAAATTTAACATTTCTCACCCAGATAGTTTCCCAGGTATCCAGTAGAACTGGTTCACCAAAATTCTGCGCCCATTTAATCATACAGTCTTTAATTAATTCTGATTCTGAATCCAGTTCCACTAACACTCCATAAATTCTCTTAATGTGAGTTTGTCTTTGATCCTTTACTTGCTTAAAAAGATTTTCATCTTCTCTAAGCAGACCTAAATTACGGTCCATCTTCCATCTATCTACTAATTGTCTATATTGAAACCAAGAATAGGTAATATTTTCATGTGCTAGGTCTTCCAAAGATTTTAACTGCCAATTTTGACCATCCCATTACCCAATCACTAATTAATGTTAAGACCACAGCGTCATAATATAATTTCAAATTCGGTACCTTGAGTCCACCTCTCTCACGGAAGTCCTGCATAATTTTAAACTTTACCCTTGGTTTTTTCCCTGCCCAAATAAATTTATTAATGCCTTTCTGCCATTCGTTTAAATTAACCTCATTCTTTAAAATAGGTAACATTTGAAATAAAAAGAGAAATTTTGGCAGGACATTCATTTTAATCACTGCAATTCTTCCCATGAGAGATAGCTGTAACTTCTCCCAATTTTTCAAATCTTTTTGTACCCTGACCCACAGCCTTTCATAGTTATTCTTAAACAATTTTACATTAGAAACAGATAAAATAACCCCCAGATATTTTATCTTATCAACAATTTCAAAACCAGTCAAATTAGCCAAAATCTGTTTATCACAAGTAGTCATATTTTAGATAATATTTTAGTCTTATTATTATTAATTTTGAAACCCGAAACTAATCCATATTGATATATCAGCTGTAATAACTTCACTACAGAATAAGTAGGTTGAGACAAAGTAACAACCAAGTCATCTGCAAAAGCTCTTAACTTATATTCTTTTTTGTTAACTTCTATTCCTCTTATTTCCTGCGACTCTCGGATTTTAATCAACAAAATTTCCAATGTTAAAACAAACAGCAACGGTGACAAAGGACATCCCTTTCTAGTACCTTTTTCTATTGTAAAAACCTCTGACAAACCCCCATTAACAATAAGTTGTGCCGTTAGTTTTTGAGATATAGCAGTAAGAGCTTGTAATATTTTTTCTCCAAAATTCATCTCCTCAATTGCTCTTAACATAAAATGCCAGTTCAGTTGATCAAAAGCTTTCTCAGCATCTAAAAATATCAGCCCTGCAGGGACTTGGTTGTTCTTATCTAAATATTCTAATATATTAATAATTTGTCTAACATTATTTTTCATGTACCTGCCAGTTATAAAACCCGATTGGTCCTTATGTATAAGCTGATGCACAACCGTACAGTCCCACTACAAGTATTTTCTTACCATATAATCCAAGTTCAATCATTACATATCTTCCTGGAGGATCTGATTCTACCAGACAAACTGGTAGATTTTGCTTAAAATAAATAACCACTCCCCCTTTTTTCCCAGGGGCAGGAGATACAAAATGAGATCCCAAACGAGCATTAGCTAAATATTTTTGATCTTTAAGTAAAATATGAGTTTCCTGCAAGCAGATAATATCATTGTTATGTTGCTTTAAATAATAAAAGATTTTCTTTCTTTTCTGAGGGGAGTTAAGGCCGTTAACATTCCAAGTCAGGAACTTTGCCATCTCCCTTAACCAGGAGCCTGGAGAAGACTGCCTGAAGATCTGCCATTGATGAATGTGTTGCAGATTCATTTAAGTCCATATTTTCTTTCCGGGAAAAAAAAGTAAAGAACAAAAGAACAAAGTACTTTCGGAACGCCATCTTACTTTCACTCTCCGTGCCGACAAAAAAGAAACAAGGGAAAAGAATCAAAGTCAACTAGAAAAGAATTAAAATAAAATACTAAACTAAAAAAGAAATCCTTTAAACTGCTCTGTCCGCTTTAAATATTACTCACCAGAACACCTTAAACGCGGAGATGGTAGCGGCATTTCCTTTTGTCTCTGAAGAGACAAAAACAGCGGGGAGGCGGAGAAAGCAGGAACTCCGAGGGAACGCTCCTTCTGCCCCCTCAAAAGAAAAATCCAGAGGGGGCTAAGAGGTTCCACCTCTATTCTTGCAATCTCTATCCCTTCCCTTTGCCCGGGAAGGGGATTCCAAACCGCGGGCCAGCTGATGTTCGCTGTGCTCCGCAGATCTGACGCCGTCCCAGGAGGACAGCTACAAAGTAGCTGCCATCAACGCCGCTCCCCAACGGAAGCTCATAAAGAAATCTTTCTTGATCTGTTCATTGAGTAAACTTCTGCTTGTCTCACGTGGAAAGTAAAGCATCCAATCTGCATGGGCAGGACAGTAAAAGTTATGAAAATTCTCTATGCCCTGCTTAAATGAAGTGAAAGCAGTTGCACCCTTGCAAGTAAAAACAATAATTAATCTTCATCTCTGCTAGCAAGCAAAGTGGAATATTAAAGCTAGTAAAGAAATATTGTGTGTCTCTCCCTTGCTGAGTAAAAGAGGAAAAAAGATTAATGTCTGTGTTGCTAAAATCAATGGAAAGGTATGTGTGTTGAAGGAGATCAGCATTTCAGGCTGCTTGTGAACAAAACTGCTAGCACTAAGAGAATTGTTTTCAAAAGCCTGTTTCTTTGTCTCAACTAGTCAGGGTCTTTGTTTTCATGCCAATTCCGTTTGCTTGGAAAAGCAAGGAAAAGAGATATATGTGCTGTAGGAAACGCTTACCAGCCCTGCCTGTGAAATGCTAATAAAGCAAGCCTCTGAGGCCAAGCGTTTGGTCGGAATGAATGGAATGCAGCTTTTAACTGTTTGCATGATAGGCTGCAAAAGTTTTATTTCCTGCAACCAAGTTTTGCTTGTTGCTCAGTCTGTTTCCCTCGTTTGATACAAATGCTGTGTTCGCCTGTACCATAGTAATCTGCTGCAAGCGCAGTTTTCACAAATCTCCATTGCCTTTGTTTAAAAGACTTTTCAGAGCAGGCAGCTTCCCTACCGCACCTGCTTACAAAACTCAGCATCGTTCTTCAAAGCAAGCATTCTCCTCTCACAGGCTCCTCAGCTCGAAGACAAAAGAATAATCAAACCATTAATTAACATGGTAACCAGGCAACTGGTGTGTAAAAGGCTGAAATGTAACCCAGTCTTCCCTCCCTTTGGAGTAAAAAAGGATGCGGACAATGAGAGAAGCATTTGATTCAAAGACAAAACCTATCCCACTATAGGCAAATGCAGTAGCACCCTCTGGTGGCCAATCTGCACACAATGCCTAAATTCAAGTTGTCAGCAAAATAGCTTTCAGCCTTATAACCCTGCTGGAGAAGCAGACCCTTCGTTTCCAAATGAAGTCTAGGAGCAGCACCCCCCACCCCAGTAGCTGATCTGCAAATAGCAGGCTTGCACCTACCCACGCAAACAGCACTCCCTAGTGGTGAAAGAGGGAACTTCTTTGAAGTCACCACCCATGCAGCAAGCACCCTCTGGTGGCAAATCTGCAAACAAAGCCTGAATTCAACTTGTCAGCAAATATAGCCTGAGCTAAGCTGTATATGGAAAACCTACTCAGTGCAAATTAAGGAAAAACATGGCAGCAAAATAATCCGTTATTATCACAAGGCTCACAACCCAGGTGGATATTTACTAGAAGCCAGTCAGTGCCTCAGTAATCTCCAGGCCGGCTACAGCTTGTGGTTCTAAGAAAACAGAATTTGGCTGACTTCTCTCTAAGCCAGGGGTGTCAAACTCAATTTCACTGAGGGCCACATCAGCATTGTGGTTGCCCTTGGGGGGCCGGGTAGGTGTGGCCAGAGTGGGTGCAGCCTACTGGGTGGGCGTGGATGGAGTGGGTGTGGCCTACTGGGTGGGCATGGCCAGTTCTACATCATTCACGTCAAGGGTGCCTGTGGGGGCCTGGGCAGGAGTGGGACAGATCTGAGAGTCTCTGGCAGAAAGGGGTGGGACCAGGGCAAGTGCCAAGGCATGGTCCACCGGGGCAAGTGCCAAGATGGCCACCACAAAATTGTACATTGGCTCCCACCTGGCCTGGGTTAGGGCCAAGGCAGCGGGGGCCGTTCCCTCACTGTTTCCAGGATGGTTTCCCGGGCCACATGAAACCACTTTGCGGACTGCATCTGGCCCCCGGGCCTTGTGTTTGACATGTCTGCTCTAAGCGATATCTAGAAGCAAT